TCTTTAGCAGGACTTCACTAATACGCTGTGACGGGAAAAATCGGATACAGATGTTTTCACTCAGAAGGTTTTGGAAACGCTAAAGTCCTATCTTCTCCTCACGGAGAAAGGGCATGCACTTCCACTTGGGAAAAAGAAGCCAAAGGGCCTTTGCACAGGGGCCGAGCCCGATGCAGGCCCTGGTGCAACATCCTTTTGCAGGGGGCTCTCCAAGTCAGCGTAGGGCGCAGGGTCCCACCCTCAGCGAGGCTTTGACAGTCTCAGCACTCAACTGCCCACAGCTGGTGACATGGCCCTGGACACACTGGGGGGGAGCAAGCCCCAGAGCAGCGCGATGGGAAGTGATGTGGTCCGGTGCTGCACACCAGTCCGTGGACACCGGGGCGAAAGGCAAGAGCCCTGGGCCTGGGGAGGCAGTGATGAGCAAAACCGAACGGGTGCCTGCCCTCACGGAGCTTACAGACTTTATACCAACTCAGCCACACCCGCCCAGTATACAGCGGCGGCAAGACTGGACAGTGCTGCAAAAGGGGCAGATGCAAACCTCTGAGAGTCGAGAAGAGGGGGCTCACGTCAGGTGGGACTTCTCGGGAAGCAGGTGCCGAGATGAAGTTAGGAGCGAAAAAAGTGTATTGAACGGTAACACCCGTGGAAGATAGGCGGGGGAAGAAGCAAGCCTGGGGAGGGAAAGGCTGCAGACCGTCATGCAGCTCGGACACCAATGAAAGCAAAGGAGAGCGTCAGATCCCATGCAGGTGGAACCAAGTTTCCACCAACCCAGTGAAAGGCTCTGGGGCAAAGCTGACTGCATGCCAAGAGAGGGAGCTCACAGTGGGCGGAAATGGCTTGGCGCTGGGACCTCCACTGTGCTCAGTCAGCGGCTGGGGGCTGCCTGGGAAGAGGCTGCCTCAGTCCTGATGATGAGATGAGCTGGGTACCTGCAGGTGCCGATACCTGGAGCGAGTGCATTCGTGGGAGCTGGCTGGCTGCACCCCCATGGCTGCCACAGGACTGAGCTCAGCGCGGGGCCTGGAGAGGGCTTCCCTGAGGCAGCGATGATGCTGACTGGAGAACTGAAGAATGCACTGGGTTAATAAGCAAGGGAGGGCGGGGACGGGAAAAAGACTCCAGGCAGGTGGCCTAGCATGTGCAAAGGTCCTTTATCTGGAGTGGTATGTCGGTGGGACTGAGACAAGGCAATGTGCCCAGAGAGGACAAGGATGGAAGGAGGTGCGCCCGGGGGGAGGCAGAGATCGGATAGTGCTAGCCTTGTGGATCATCGTAAGGATCTGGTTTTCTATTAGCTAAGCAGCTCTGAGGAAGTTCCTAACTTTACTGACATTTAGTTTCCTAATCTGCAAAATGAGAAAAATAATAGATGCTTTGTAAAGTTGATGTGAGAAGTTGAGTGAGATTGTACATATTGAGCTTTTGATCTAGTGCCTGGTACACGGGCAACGCTTGGTAAATGTTGGATATTATAGAAAACTTGAAATGCCTTTTGAAAGAAAGCAAAGGAGAAAAATGGACTTACTTTTGTATTTTATTTTCAAAGGTGTTTAAGTTTTATGCTGAAATAACGTGCGTGCGTTTGAACAAACTATAAGCGAAACTGCTCAATTTCCTCTCCACCAAAAGCATGGTGTTATTCCAATCCTCAATTAATGGAATTCCAGGCATACAAATAAGCTTAGAATTAAACAATTAACATTGGCAATTCAGAGCTGAATAAGTAATAAATAGCTTGTAACAGAAAACAGGTCCACGAGAAATCTAAGAACAGAGGAGCTCTTAGGGAGAATAGCACCTCATAAATGAGGATGTGGCTACAGAGAGCAGGACACCTTCTATATAACAGCAATATTGAAAACACAGATATCTTCTCCAATCTCACCTGTTTAGGGGAGTCATCCTTCAGATACCTATTTTCAGATGATTGCAGACCATAACGTGCAGGAAATGAAATCATAAAGTGATGAAAGATGAATTTTGGCTGTCGTCGCTCAGGCTGACTTGATGGTCACAGAAAATTTTTTCCTAGATGGTCATTTTTTTTTTTAAAAGTAGGTGAGCATGTGCTAACAGACTAAGGAATATTCTCTAAATTCACGTCCAGATGATCTGAACCAGCTCAAAATAAGTCGAGCCTCTATACTATTGGCCTTGAGTGTGTATGAGTTTGGGATAACCTGCCCCATGGGGCGAGAAGGGGACAATCTCTCCTAAGGAGATGCATTCGCCACAGACTAGTTTCCTGGGTGGCCGTGAGCAAAAGCACTGGTCATTTTACGACTGTGATGCCCCTGCCATGCTTGTCACTGTGTCAAACTCCAGTCTCCCCTTAAACAGATAAATCCCTGCAGCCGCTGTTTTATGAACTCACACATGACTCCCTTTGACTTCTCGGCATCTAGCAAATTCGCAAAGCTGTCATTCTCCTCTGTTTATCCCCTGGTCTCTTCCGTCAGAGAGGATTCTGACCACCTCTGACACTTAGAGGAGTGAATGGCGGTGAAAATATCTGGCACCCACTCACGGAAACCTTGATGGGAGATGCTGGTAGAATCACGCAAAAGAACCGCAAATGTGCGTCTTCTTTGGTGTTTTGCCTCTTTTCCCTGTTCAAGCGGTGATAAAGCAAACGTGAGGTTTCCACAACCACCCAAACAAAAACATCTTCTTTGAGAATTTGAAAGTATTCCACACATCAGCTTAGATTATCATCTCCGCCCCCCAAGCTCCTAAACTTCTCCTGCCTATTTCTTTCCTGTGCCAAAGCTTATCAACTCTTAGGTCATCTTGATTTGTCAAAAACTGCTTGGATCACAGGGTTGAACCTAAGCAGATTGGACAGGGATTTCTTCATGCACATAAAAAAAAAAGTCTGACGAGAAAGTTACTTCTGTCTCCCAATGGAGAAAGGGGTGGTCCACCTTTGCTCCTAAGTTGTGTGTTAGTATTGACTGAATTCTGAAAACATTCTTTTTTTTCGAAAGGACTGCTACCCGATGGAATTACTCCACACTCTGAACCTTTCATTACAGTGAGTCATACTGCAAGTAATTTTTAAAAACCCTCCCAAGTTTTCTTTTTTGCTATAGATTTGCCAAGAATTCTTTCAGTAAAATAGGAGTTAACAGGAAAAAAAAACAAAAACAAAAACAAACCACCATCCTTTTAGTTCTATACGGAATAATTAAATTTGTTTAAAAATGTAAGATTTGATGGAAATAGAAGATTTTGTGAAAGACTTGTACCCAGTGTAGATTGGGTCACTCAAGGGTTTGTGGTTATTCGTGGGTAATTGGTTCACATAGCCACGTGGGACAAGCCGAGTCTTGGGAGGTCGGAAGACTGGCTAGTGCTAGCCACATCTGGGAACCTGTCCCATGACTTTCCAGTCCTCCACGCACAGAAACGGGTTTCTACCATGAGGATGGTAAGGATTCTTCCAAAGACAAAACAGAGATAGGCACTGATGTGGACTTTGATTTTGCTCTCTGTAATTTAAAACCCAGTCATCAGGTATGTGAAAGCCAGAGTTCTGACCTTCTCCCAGTTAGGAAAGAAGGGCTTTGAAAGGCGTGATTGGTTTCTTTCTCAGCAAGCCTTATGAAAAAGATTTTTAAAATCAAGTCAGTGCAACTCAAGACTTGGAAGCGAGAAAATGACAATTATGTGACTTCTGCGGAGGTTACAGTAGCTCCCGCTTAGATGGTTAATGTTGAACACACTCTGGGCTGTGAGAGGCTAGGGACAGCGCCACTGGCTATCACCCCACATACATGGCCGGCCGGATGGACGGATGCATGACAGGCAGCAGCTGTGAGAATCTCTCTGCTCATAACCATCTTGTTTCCGGGACATGGTGCAGAACAGACCCTTCCGTGCTAGCCCAGGGCCCGTGTCTGCAACTCCTTCGCACCAGCCCTGCCTCTGAGCTCCCCGAGGTTGCAGCAGATGTTAAAAAGTAAAGTTGAAACCTTTAAGCTGTAATGAAGGAGTTCACAGGGTTCATAATCCCAGTACCCCACCCCGATTCTCCAGCGATCCCGCTGAAATCTTTCAAACGGTCCTCAGCACTAACACGGTGCATGCAGCGCGTGTTGAACACGCCGATCTGCCCATGATTACCCTCGGCGGCTGTAAAACAATCTCACTCCTCGAGTGAATGCAGGCTGCAGCAACAATGGTGTTATTGACTTGTTGCTCCGGCTCTATTTAGTTATTACCCTCGGGGCCACAATCAATAGACTTTGCACCAAGTCAGCCTAATAAATCCCAGGCTCTCACTGGAGGTTTGCCAGGAACTGCAAGAAAATCTATGGCAGGGAAACTCTTAGAGTGCAAAGAGAGAAAGCTGCACTGACAGCTGTATAAATTAATTAACAAGGAACTGTTTATTCTTCTAAAAGATCAGATTGCACATTTATCATCATCGAAGAAGTCACAGATAGACTATCATGAAATTATCTGGTAATATAAAAAACTCCCACATATTTGGATGTGCACACAAAAGAGAGAGACCTGTGCTCTATGGCAACTTGTTTCTGTCTTTATTATATTTTCATTTACTTGGCTTACAAATTTGCCTGCTCTGCACTAGTTCTGGTCAGTCTATCACTTCCAGCTCACACGGACAAATGTAGCCTGCCTGGATAATTCTTGAAGCTTGTAGCTGAAATCGTCAACACAATAAAAATAAAATGTTGATCATTAACATTGTGCTCTGGGGTTTGTTGGTGGTTTTTTTTTTTTTTTCTCCCCTGCTGTCAGGAATTTGAATCTTGCTTGTAATGCAACAGTGGAGGGAAAAATGCTTTAGGTGATACAAACACTAAAAGGTCACGGAAGTAAATGCCAGGTTATTTCAGATCATTGCAAAAGAATTCTAGAGCAGTTCTCCTTACTTAATAGGCAAATGGTGTGAAGATTCAGTGGCAAAGATCCAGGATTCTGCTGCTTTAAGACATGTTGAACTAAGCTTGGGTGCGAGACAGTCTTCTTCCATAGGTTGTAAGCAAATGTAAGAGATCAGTGGGGCTCTTGGAGCTTAGTTGCTACTGCAGTAGTTCCTTCTAGAATCCTTACAGAAAAGTTTCTTTTCCCAATTCTGTCTATGCTATTACAGAACCTGTAGCTTGACAGGGGAAAAAAAAAGGCTTTTTAAATGCTGAGCGATTTTAGTTTTTAAATTCAAGGGAGGGAGTGTTAGAAATGGTCTTTAAACAGAATCACAACATCCAACCTCAAATATCACTCAGCAGATTGGCCAACGTTTGGTGAAAGTCTATTAGCTACAAGGCACTGAAGCAGCCATTGACTGGCTGTGACACAAGCATCATTGTTCCCAGGCGTGGAAAGCTTATTTCATTGCTTCGGTCTAGCCTGGGATATGTCAGCCCTACTGCATGTTAACACACTCCTGTGAACACAAAAGGGCACAGCGACCCCCTCAAACATGTACCCTTTAACTTGATGGGCCCTCAGGAGATTGGGGGGGGGGCACCTATATGCGCACACATGAAACCCATTTTATTGTGGGACTGCTAATTGTGTTGTCCCAATAATTTATTGCCTCTTATAAATGGTTTCCAGGTAATAAGAGTTAATTGACTCAAGAGACTTCCATCCATTGCAATTATCTCCTAATATCGTACATCAGGCTCCTGTACTTTCTATTAATCAGATCAGATGTATCACCTGAATAGATGCATTAAAAAAATGGTGGAACTTGAAATCATCATCCCAAACTTATTTCTAAATATGCTCACAAAAGTTGTTTGTCCTCAGATGAATGGACTACCCTAAGCACAATCTGGCCTTGAGCTTGGAGACTGGGCAGAGCCACTGGCCTCCAGAGTACACCTACTTTACTCCTATCTCATTTTTCATGAGAAGACCAAGGTTCAGAAGGGGAAGTGGTGGTTCGGGGGAGCCCCTGGAGAGTTAGTGGCAGAGGCACTAGATTTTTCGCCATCTTTTTCTTGCATTCTCAAGTTTCGACTGAGATAGAATATAGCCATGAGAAGAACCTTTGGCCAAACAGAGATGCAAGGGAGCTTCTTCATGCCTCTGCCTCACCTATTTCTGCTTCTCTCTCCCCAGTAAAATAGCTCCTGAGCTATTCTCCCGTGCCCTCAGCTCCAGACCTGAACACTCAGCCTCTTTTTGTGACACCTTCTCTAATACCCTCCACATCAAAATGTTTCAGTTCCAGGTTCCATGGCCTTAGGGCCCAATGGCATGTGTATCAGGTCCCTTGCTCTGTTGCTACTCCTTGCCTTGCTTCAGCGAAGTCATTCCTTGTCTCTGAGACTTAGTTGTTTTCTTTTTCCAAATGAGGGAGTTGGAGAGATTTCTAAGATTTCCTATCAGCTCTAACATCCTAGGATTTATGCCAAAGGCCACTCATGGGTTTTCATGCCTCATCATGTTTGCATAGCTCTTCTTACTGCTCCCGGTGTCTTCATGTCCACCAGCTCTCTGCTGCCTGCCCCAGGTTAGGTGTTCAATTCTGGCAATGACACTATGCCTTAACCCAGTGGCAAGGCACCACTGGAAGGAATTCCAAGCCCAGGGGGAAGAAAAGAATCTCAGTTCACACTCTGAAGATCCCTCTTGGTCCTCTCTTCTCAACATGTAGGCTACGCTAGATGGGCTGTCACTCGGTCTTATGGCTACAAGTTTTCTTTCCAATTAACTGTCTCTTGCCAGGCTCTGGGGACACTACTTGGAACACTGAGATGGGTTGAGGCCCGAGCACCTTCCAAGCACACCTTCTGCCAAGTTGAGGTGTGTCTAAGCATCATTCTTTTCTTTTTTTAATAAAGATTTTATTTATTTATTTGAGAAAGAGAGAGAGTGGGAGGAGGAGCAGAGGGGGAGGGAGAGAGACAAGCAGACTCCGTGCTGAGCATGGAGCCCAAGGCAGGATCCCCAGATCATGACCTGAGCCGAAACCAAGAGTCTGACACTCAACCAACTGAGCCACCCAGGTGCCCTGGCATCATTCTTTTCTAAGCCTTCCAGTGGTTAATGCTGTAGGTGGAGGAATGAGGCTAACAGAGGATAGTTTGTGGGGTGGGTTTGTACCTCTGGAATTTGCTACTCTGTGGAGTTCTAGGGTTCTGGCCTCTATGATCTGAAATAGCAGACACATCGTTAACTTTTAGCTTGATCAATGGTGGAAAGGGGAGAAGAATACAATGAGAGTGAGCACACATCCTTTGTGTGGCAACTGGATATCAGGTAGTATGGGCTTTTCTGTACATGGGAATGTTTTCTTTAAGCCATTTGGTAACACTGGAAATTTCATATCATTATCCCACTTTAGACATGAGAAAACTAAGGCTCAGAGAGGTTAAGTGACTTCTCTAAGGTCACAAGCGTGGCCAAGAATCAGCTCTTAGTCTTTTGACAGAAAGGTCAGAAAGGTCAATTCTCTTTCTATAACAACTTACTTCTGCCCCAAAGGCCTGGAGATGGCAGGGAGATAAGAGACAAGTATAAGTTAAGGTGATTAAATCACTACCTCACTGGTTATTTTTACATCCAATTAATAGGCTCACTTTATGAGCTATAGAGTTACATTCTATGGCCTGTAGTCTAGAGCTTATGAGACATGAAGTGGTTCTCCTGTTGTGAAAGTTGACTCTGCCCATCCTGCTCTGATTGGCCAATGGGCTTCCAGGGTGGATTGGGCTGAGGTGTGTCTTAGTGGAGGACCACATCATTCCACAGTTCTTTTTCCTCCCTTAAAAACAGTTGTATAATCGGATATCTATATGCAAGAAAAGAGAGTGGGACCCTTACCTCACACCACATATAAGCATTACTTCAAAAGCAAATCAAAGACCTAAATGCAAAGCCAAAACTATAAAACTCTTAGAAGAAAACACAGGAGTAATATAAGCATTACTTCAAAAGCAAATCACAGACCTAAATGCAAAGCCCAAACTATAAAACTCTTAGAAGAAAACACAGGAGTAAATCTTTGTGACCTTGGATTTAGTAATAGATTCTTGGATATGATACCAAAAGCAAAAAGAAAGACTATACTTCACCAAAATGAAAAACTTTTGTGCTTCAAAGGACACTATCAGGAAAGTTAAAAGATAACTCACAGAATGGGAAAAATATTTGTAAATCATATAGCTGATAAGTGACTTGTATCTAGACCTTACAAAGAACTCTTACGACTTACTAATAAAAAAGAAAATGGATACAATTACAAAATGGGAAAAGGATCTGAGCAGACATTTCTCTAAAGAAAAGATGCAAATAGCCAATATTATAGCACATGACAAGATCAATAGTCATCAGGGAAATGCAAATCCAAACCACAATGAGATACCACTTTATACTCACGAATACAGCTAGAATCAAAAAGTCAGATAATAACAGGTATTGGTGAGGATATGGAGAAACCAAACATTCATACACTCTTGTGGGAATATAAAGTGGTGCAGCTGCCTTGGAAACAGTTTGGCAGGTCCTCAAAAAGTTAAAACTGGAATTACCCTTTGACTCAGTATTCTGCTCCTAGGTTTTTGCCCAAGAGAAATGAAAACATATGTGCACACAAAGACTTGTATGTGAACGTTCATAACCGCATTATTCACAATAACCGAAATGTGGAAAAAACCCCCAGTTGCCCATCAGCTGATGACTGGATAAACAAAATGTTACTCTGCCATAAAAAAGAATGACCTACTCACACAGGCTACAGCGTGGATGAAGCTTGAAAACATGGTGAGTGAAAGAAGTCAGCCGCAAAATATCATCTGTGATTCCATTTCTACGAAATGTCCAGAATAGTCTATAGAGAAAGGAGGTTAGTGGTTGCTTAGGGCTGGGGAACGGTGACATCGGGGAGTGATGGCTAAAAGTTAAGGGGCCTCCTTATGAGGTGATACAATCACGCTGATGGGTGCGTGTATCTGTAACGTACAAAAACCCCACTGAATTGTGCACTTTAAATAGGCAAACTGTAGGGGATGTGAATTATAGCTGAAAAAACGCCCTGAAACAACCCACCACATGACTGTGCCTTAGGTACTGCTCTTGCAGCGTGGTTCCTTTGCTGTGTAGCAGCCAAATTCTACCCCACAGTTGCTTCCCGGCTCTGAGGGTCTGTCCCACTTGGGCAGGTGTGCTACTCATTTTAAAAGTGCCTTCTCTACTCATCCTTTGAGGACAGAGAGAAGGAGCTACGTGCTCCTTGCCAGGCCCGATGTTAAGTGTTGTGCACAGGTTACATCATTTAATTCTTACAACTGCTCCCCACGACAGCTACCGTTCCTACTTCCACTTAAATACCGGGAAACTGAAGGAGTTTAGGTAACCTGTCCAAGGTCACACAGCTAGTAAGGGGCAGCTCCTGGATTTGACCTCGAGTGATCTGACTCCAGAATTGGGCACATGGGGGCCTTAGTTATGTATAAACATGGGACACTGCCATGGTGGGGCCGGGGGGCGGGTGGTGGATGGGGGACAGTGTGCACTCATGGAAACCTCCCCTTCCCCTTGCAGCCTGGGGAATCTTGAAGGCCTCTCCATTCTAACCTGCCTAGAATGTTCCCTGGGAGAGCCAGAAACTTCTTTAGAGAGAAGCTAGAGACTCCTTTTGAGAGAAGTCCTATCCATCCTGTTTATTTAAAACTGGAGGGGGTTTGTTTTCCCCCGAAGCAGTTGTAACTGACACTTTGAACCCATCTTTACACGTATTTGTTTCTGAAAACCAGTTTGTTTGTGGTTAGGGAAAAAACATACTCATTGAATTTTAAGGAGTTATTTCTATAAACATGTGGCAGAAGTAGGATGTTACGAGATTTAAAAATGGAATTAATTTTCTTTTTAAAAAACATTTGGAGTTAATTACTCCTGTTCATGAGGCTGAGTCTTTTAGCCAAATTTTTGTTTTCATGTCAAACCAGAAGACTCGCTATACAAGTTAACACTTTGATGCAGCGTGCCCACCTCTGCCATTGACTTATGGTGTGATCGGAGGCCAGTCACTTGCCTCTCTGGGGGCTAGCACCCTGCTGGGGCCCAATAACTGTGGAGTATCATTGTCCAACACGTAACATGAGTGGGTTGGATCAGATCAGGGGTTGCCAACTGGCAGCCTGTGGCCAGATCCCACCTGCCAGATGTGTTGGTTTGGCCTGCTCAGTTTTTAATTAAAAAAAAATTTTTTTCCTTGCCAATATTTACTAATGGGGAGATTTATAATCTAGAATTCAGGCATTCTGGAAAACTCAGAGGATGGGCCTCAGTGGGCCCACCTTCCCTGACTGCAGCAGTGGAATGGATCCTAAGAAGCCTTTTTGGTGGCGCACCCACTCTCTGGTTTACCTCATCACCCCCCCTGGCTTGTTTTACTCACCCGTGATACCCAGCCGGTACTTATGGGCCACTGGGTATGCCCTCTCTGAACTAGATCCTTCCTCTGCTTCCTACCTGCTCTCCCAGGCTATGCTCTAAGCTTGGTAGTGTTCCAACAGGAAGATAAAAACGAGGTGAGACACCAGGACCTTGCTATATGCTTTTCCAAATGCCATGCAGAGCAAGAGGATGCAGAGATGGGCGCCCACGGCACGGAGCTGTGACTACCACGTTGGCCCTCATGCTTGACATCACACCCACAGCAGAACCTTCCAAGACACCGGGAGGGTTCAGCTCTGATCAATGCCCTCCTGTGCCCAGGACCTCCAGCTCCCAGATGGACGGGCATCCAGGTATAACCCGGGAGGCTGCTGTTGGCAAGTCTAGCCCACTAACGAGAAGACAGAGAAATGCCATGGGTTCATCTAGCGTTCCGTTCCGAATGGACTTGGATTCCAAGTCAACTCATTTCCTTCCTTATGAGAACTGGAGACAAACAGATCCTGCAAGTTAACTGACAAAGCCTTCCTTGACACCATCAGAGGAAGCGCGGGTCCTTCCTCTGCACACGAAGGCCTCGCTCCCCAGTTACCTCATAATGAGGCCCCCGCGATGGTCCACCCGGTGTGGGCCACCAGCAAGGCCTGTGTTCTGTATTCTCCAGTCAGCAGGGCTGTGGGGGGCTGATCTGGATTTTCGTTTGACTGGTGGATATAATTAATTGCAAATTTCAGCTCTCCCTACTTCACACAGAAATTATTTGGAGTGTGCATATTGTTTCTCTTTTCTGGCCCTCCCAGTTTTTCTTTTAAGAAATGAGTAATTGTCAGTCCTACAAGGCCAGAATTACTTCCTAATGTGATTTTTTTTTTAACGTCTTAGTTTGAAATAATTCCAAACTTAACAGGAAAGTTGCAAGAATAATAAAATGAGCTCCCATGCACTTCACTGAGATTTACTGGTTGTTATTATTTTGCCCCAGAAGCTTTCCCATTCTCTCTCTCTCTCTCTGCATAAATGCATATTTCATTGGGGACCAGGAGAGAGTCAGTTTCAGACATCATGGCCCTTTGCGTTACCAGACACGTTCACCCAGGAAATTTAACAGTGATACAACACTAACACTGAATCGACAGCCTGCATTCTAATCCTGCCACTGTCCCCATATGTCCATAATGTCCTTTATGCCACCCTCGTCCCTGCTCCAGGACCCAGTCTAGGCTCACGCACTGCCTTTAAGCTGTCTAGTTTTCAGGCCCCTTTGACCTCCTTTAATCTGAAATCCTAAATGTGGTTTTAAAGATGTTGAGAACCAGAACACAGAGAGGTAGGCGGTGGAAACATTGCAAGGAGAGAGGAAAAACCTCTCCAAATGTAACGGTAAACTGGTCAGTGGGGGAACACCAAATGCTCTCTTTGGCTTCAGCAGTTGCTCCAGGAATTGCATTATATGCTTCCAGCGGATGAGGCCGACTTGTGGAGTTCAGAGTCTTCCATTTTGGTCTTCTGCTTTCTTCCAGGGACAACTGCCACGTTCTGCTCTAATCGCCCTCAAGCCTCTCCAGAAAGAGCTCCGTGGAGCCTAATTACATTGCCAGGGTGATAGAGAAGCTTCCCCCCAGCCTTGTGTCTCACAAAGCATCTAAATCATGCCATTATACCACAACAATGGATTCTCACACTCGTCAGGCAATTTGTTTTAATTATGTAAATCACTTCATTCTCTTTTCAAATATCTGCAGGGAGCTGCAAGGCGCTGCAGGTCAAAATAGGACAGAGAGGGGCGGACGACGGAGGCCTGGCTTGGTCCTGGTGGTCACCTGTCATACGGTGTTCGGGTGCAGGGGGAGAGTGGGGCGCCGAAGTCCCAGAAAACGTGTCAAGATGCAAGGGGGAAGTAATGTGGAATCCCCCTTCAGTGACAAAAGTACCCCACAGCACATGGCACAAAGCACGGTGATGCATTTTATCTGCGCCTCTGGGGGAAAGAGCAGGATCCCAACAGGCGCCGTGTCCTCGTCCTACCGCACGCTCGGCAGCACCCCCACGCACTAACCGCTGAGCCAGATTCAATAAAAAGAGAACAAGGAGTCACCCAAACACTGGAAAGTCACCCTCTCCAAGGTGCCTGGTGAGAAGACTGGTCCGGGGAAGGGGCTGAGTGCCTAGAACATTCTGGGTTTCATACCATCTAACCATGACTTATATGGAGTTGGTGTTTTAAATAAGTAGGTTACATGTCCCCCTTGATCTTCAAACAATTTTTTAAATTATTCTTTTTTTATCATAGCTAAGAAACTTGGGAGAATACAGAGGACCAGAGGAAAGGCAGGCAGGCAGGCAGGCAGGCTCCTTTAGCTGAATACCTCGAAACCAATGTATTTAACATTAGAGGGTATTTGCTCCCATTGTTCCAGCACACTCCACACCGTTATTAGTTTATGCCTCCCTGTTCTCAGGACTAGGACAAACATATTCTGTATAACACACTAGAATGGTTTCTCTAGTGTGCTTTTCATCGGACAGTTTGTACTTCAACCTCAGCAGGGAATAGCACCTACTTCCTTTTGGGCACAACGTCTGCAGTTAAGGTCTGCTGCCCCCAGGGGAAGAAGGGATGTGGGAGGCACGACAGCCAAATGGCTAAGAGTATGGGTTCTGTGGTCAGACCATCCGGATTCAAGTCCCCAAATTGCGTCTTATTAGTTGCATGACTTTGGGCCTTGGTTTTACCATCTGGAACAGGACATGATACAAGTTGTTACCCCAAAGGTTGGTGTGAGAATTAAAGTGAGATGACTCATATCAAGAGTTTAGCATAGTACCTGGAGGATAGTAACAGTACCTATTAGCTGGTACTTCTATTATTATTACAACATGGTTTGAAACGTCAGTTCTAAGCCACAGATTAAGAAGCTGACTCCCTTCTAAAGAATAAAAGTTCAGATGGCGAAGAGATACGTAGCTTAAAAGCTCTGTTTGGAAGGCCATGGAATCCATATGGAGCAAGATTTAAAGGACTAACACCTGCATGCAACATTGCTACTCCTTTCTCACTCAGCCACAACCGGTGTGAATCTCGTCCTGTTGCCTTTTTCTCTCTAGGGCTTCAACAAAAGAAACCCTTGGCCTCCATCTCCTTCCATGTAACTGCCACTAACCCAGTCTCACAGCACCTTAAAATACTTCTACCTACTTAGAACATCTACGCTCCCTTACGTCTCTTTCTCCCCAAGGAAAAGGTTAATGAAGAAGCAGACAGGACGTCTTATTAAGAAGCCACCACTGTCCCTCTTCTTTATGAAAGCGATCACGGGAGAGGAGAGGTTTGAGCACTTTTTGTTAATCCGAAGCGGCCGTGTTTCCTCTCTTCCTTGAAGGGCACTAACACTTTCTTCTTTCTTTTTGTTTTTTAAAGATTTTATTTATTTA